GAATGATGATAATCTCCAAGCAGTCTTAGGCGATAAACCTGTACCATATGATTTGCGCTGTTAATTTATATTACAAAATTTACTTTCTTATATCAGAAGATATAAATTTGTATCTTAGACCACATGGAAGAATCTGATGAAGTGAAATAACAATGAAAAGTGCAACCAACCTCTCCACAAAGAGACTCAAAGAAGAGTTTAAGATCTGCTTGAGAAACCTATAGGAAAAAAAAAAAGTTATGAAAGAAGATTGCAGTAAGAGATAAGAAATTTATTTAGACACAAACAATAATAGAATTGAATAATAAATACTATCATCAACCTTCTTGTCAATATTTGTACAGTAGACAGTCCTTGAGCACATCTCCCGTTCATCATCAGACTTAAGGCACAGAAATAAGCAGATAGACATCGATGAGAAGAATTCAGACAAGGCCTAAATGTCATTCACCAAAGATATACCTGATGAATTCATAGCTAAGAAAAAGTTCATATTTTCAGTGCTCTTACCCTAGGCAAAAATGTTGGGTTGACAGGTGCAATTGCAGTTTTTGAAGGAAGCACCTTTACTGGGTAATACCCAAGAACAGTTCCTGACAGATTTAAAGCAGCTCGTGCACCCTCTGTTTTTGAATGAGTCCATGGCAATGACCAGTGATGTGAAAAAAAAAATCATTTAATTTGAGAGAGACCAACTATGCAGGAAGGGCTTACCCTCATCAGTGAACTCTATGAAAGCAAAGCGAAGAACTGTATTTGGGTCACCACACATGCGACAGTCAACAACCTGAAGCAATACATGTAATATATTTAGAAGCATTAAGCACTCTGACGAAACACACAAGGACATAAAGGTAATGCACCTGTCCACAGTTGATGAAAAGTGCCGCAAGCTGTTCTTCAGTAACCTAAATATCAGCAGAAGCTACATTAATATTCCACTATGAAAGATTTGAAAGGTTAAGTAGGTGCTATGACAGTCACATCAATCTAATAAATATATTACTTCTACCAAATAATATTGTTTATGATACCTGTTTAAGAGTCTCAGACTCTGAACTAGTGCAGCACATAAGGCTACAATTGATTAAAAAAAAGCACAGAATATCTATCAATTACTTAAAGCCAGCTATTGCATTAGGTCATATATTAACATTGAATAATGCTACTTCTGAGCATCCAGGACTCTCCTTATGATAGTAAGGCTCATCTATCCACAAATCACATATATTAGATGCAATACTTAGTCTAACACTGTGGATTTGGTGACTTGGATGAGGGTGGGGCTCTTCCGGAACATGTTCAACATGGATCTGAGATGAACCCTACTGTAGAAATATTTGATGCATATGGTTGTTACTTTTTGCAAACAATGATCCACGACTGACTTGTAAGCTAGGCTAGAGAGAGTAGCTACTTTTGCAAACAAAAATAGCAGGTAATATTCCACCAAAATATAGAGATTTATTGAAGAATCTTAATGTTGAATTTGCAAATACAATAAGAAAAAATAAACTTCACTTTTAAAACAAATTTAGGTGGCACTATGTGTCAAAAGCTTGTAACATGAAGACTTTCTTATTTACCAATTTTTGGCAACGAAAACAACTATTATAAAAAAAAGTTCATGCATCCAATTCTGAAACTAAAGAAATTCTTTGGTAATACCAGTCTTTGCCTAGAAAATTTATATTTTTGTGTGCAATTAGATTTGGAAAGTTATCATTCCTTAAGAGTTACCAAATTTATAAAATCAAATACGATATATATTTTTTCCTTTTCCTATTAAGATGTAGAAACAAATAAATCATTCGTATTATGAAAATGATCATCGTTGTTCAACATGCCAAAATGATTCAAAATATATCTTTTGCATAATCAAACACCAAATGGCATTGTACAACAAAGTACACTTTTTAAGAACCTAATATTTATATAAATGTGAGAATAGCCATATCTATGTCAGCTCAATAAGCCTAGAATGTGGAGTTCCACCTGTCACCAGCTTAACTAATCCCCTCCATCAATCTTATGTTTTGCATTCTACAACATTCAAATCATACATGCATGTGACAGAATAGTTCTTAGCTTCAATCAGTTATCTACAAATGTATAATGGTCATTCCTGAGTTTCCGAATGTTAATATCAAGTTATAGATAGGTGAGTTGAAAAATAAATTAAATATCTGACAGGTAAAATCAGGTTAAAGTCCAGTGGGTTGCAAAGTAAACTATCTATAACAATAATAATAACTCAATTAGACATGTCAGTTGACTAAGTCCTACAATCAATATTAAACTAAATCAATTATTGTAAAACCAAAAACTAGGCAAACAAAAGACACCTTAAAGTAATATAATCTTCTACGATGAAAACTAGTGGAAACAAAGAACAGAATAAAGTTTTGCATCACTGAAGCTCTCATCACTCACAGAGGTGCAGACTACTCTATATTTCCTTTTGCTCTACGGAATTGGGAAGAGTTCTAGAGACAAAAGTTTGAGATGTGTATATGGACTCGGAGAAATATATGAAAAATATCCTCACAAAGACTTTAGAATGCTGTGATTTGAAATGGCCGACCATGCATGATTCATCTGTTCATTGCTTTTCTTCACCGTCTTAGGTAGGCACATATTCAAACATTTCAATCTAAGATTACATTAATACATGATATACATGCGTGCTGATCATATTATGCCTTGGCCTATATACAATCACCCCAAACCAGAATGCCTAAAGACCATCAACACATCAGCAAAAAAGAAGATATCACGATATGAAAAAGACATGGTATGATCATTTACAGTATGGAACAACACACATCTGTAAAAGAAGGCATATATCAAATCAAAAGTACACGAATGGATGATCCTCCTTACCTGATGATCAATGTCGGAGACATACACGGTTCTCCTTATCACCTCCTCTCTCTGCGCCAAACTCGTCCGACTGTTCATCCTGCGCTTCCCCTGGCCATATCCGTTCTTCTTCTAGTTGGAAACACCAAAATGTGTCAGCAAAGAACGAAGATGTAAGACATCGAAATGAGAGGGGAAAAAGATTCTAATCCGAAACCCTTACCCGCCTCTCACCATTCCCAACAGCGCCGCCGTCCCCAACCCCGTTGCTCACCTCAAAACCACTCGCATAAAGCCCTCCACCAGCGGCGCCGTACCTGTTCCCCATCCCGGCGAGAGACGGAGGTACGAACTCCTCCGCCATCGGGTTCAGCTTCGAGAGCAGCTCCTCCAAATCCCGCATCTCCCGCTTAAACCCCTCCCCCTGCGACCCCACCACCGCGGCCGACGGTCCGTCTCTATTCAGTCCCAAGGCGAGCGGAGGCTTTGCGTGGAAGGAGGAAGCCGCCGGGGCGGCCGCGGAGGGGTCGCGGTGGGGGCGGAAGGCGGGGTGTCCGGATGAGGCCGAAGTGGAAACCAGATCCTTGGCACTCCGGGGGTCCGCCGCTCCACCGCCGGTGATGGAGGGGCCCGCGGCTACCGCCAGATCGACGCCGTTCGCGCTCTCAACCACTGCCATGATCACAATGCCGATCGACGAGCTTCTTCTCTGTATATTTATCTCCTCCTTCCGCTCTGGCTTACTATATACTGAGAAGAGGAGAAGGTAGTTGGGTTCTGGGGAGGGAGGGGGAGGGTAACCTCACCGATCGGATCGGATGAGTCCCATCGAGGAGCGATCGGGTAAGGGAGACTGAAGAAGGCTTTTCTTTGGTAAGACAGGAGGAGCAGGGCGGTCACCGGATCCCTCTTCCCCCTTCCCTTTCCAGGCCCTTCACTCTGCTTCTCCTCCTACCACCACCACAGTCTCTCTCTACCTTCTTTCTCTTTCGCTTCCGTCTTACATTGACGGTTGGATTAAGCTTTAGGATCCGCGAACTCTTTAATCCGACGGATGAGAAGCTTTCCGAGTACATTACCGTAGCGTCCAACCACCAAAAGCCCTATGATAAAAAAGCAATAATTTAGCAACCGTGGCGGCAATCGTGGGTAGGAGTACCAATTGGAGAATCTACTTTGGGCCCACAAGGAGCCACCACCGCCACTCAGGCCCAGAGAGGCGGGTAAGGCTTCGTGTTGATCTAAGGAAAGTTGTTCCTTCTGGGTTATGCAATGAATGCCATGGCATGCAAGGATGTCGTGTGGGCGAGAGATGATGACATAGGACGGTATCCAAGGGCGACGCGTGGAGGAAGAAGGGTTGAATGCGCGCCACGTGTTAAATGGTGCAAATATATTGGCCAAGAAACACTCATTTATTACGATTTAAATCAAATACACAACCAACGTTTATTTCCACGTATGCATCGAAACTTCTCTCTGGAATAATGGCTATCATATGGTCCACCCACCATAATGATAATTCGAAACGTATCTCGTAACTTTACGTGCTTCTACAATAAATGACGATGCTTTCATGGATACATGTCCTATACGTGATCATGATGTGCATTGCGATTAATATCGGGTTACTTAAGTTCGACATGGCGTCAACATCACACAACAAACAGCAGCGATTACAGCCTCCAAAACCTCAACGACTCCACAATTATCTCTTCCAGTGACAGTTAAAATGCCTGATTCCCAGTGTCGTTTTCGTGTTCTTTTTGACTGCCAGAAGTAAATTGCTCCCAATAAAAATAACGTGTATACGATGAATATTACGATTCTTGCAATCCCATTTGGAAGATTATAGTAATTGTCCACGTGTATATGATGAATATTACGATTCGTTTTCTCGTTGCATTTTTCTTGACTCGTTCAAAAAGACTTGTCCACTTGTGCTTTTTATTCACTTTTGATATTACTAAAATGCCCTTAGATCACAGAAAAAGCAGCGCTGATTGACCGCAAGCGTGGCAGAGATTATGGGTAAAAAAGTAATTTTGGCTATTGGTCGCGGGACGGACACGTGTCGCGATGGCAGATCCGCAACGGCTGTTCCTCGTCGTCGTCGTCCTCGACGGCTCCAAAGGAATCGTTCGGTGACGTGGCACGATGGGCAGTGGATGCTTCCGGCCACCCTAGACCACCCACCCGGTTTTCCACCACTGCGAACCCCCAAAGCTGGGGCCCGCACCTTCTCGTGGTCCCATACACCAGCCCATTAACTCACCCGGAGCAGCTTCCAAGGCCCCCGGGTACAAATACCCATGCGCCCATGCTCTCTCCCAGGACTCTCCACTGCAAACTGAGTGAGGGAAAGAGATAGCTGAAGTGACGTGAGGTGACTTCGATTAGATCGAGAGAAATTTCTTTGTGATCTTTCGTTAGTTTTGTTACGAGAAGAGCTACCGCGGTAGCTGATTTGTTTTGGTTCTCTGGCTTTGGTTGCATGGTTTCGTGTTGAAATCATGTAATATGTGTTACATGTTGGTTGTTTCATGATCTCTGTTGTTAGATCCCTTTCCTTCTTCTACATTCGAGAATTTAAGGCCTCTTTTTTCTTCTTGTTTCACCTTTAATTCTTGTTGGCGATAGATCGAAGTAGTAGTGTTGTTTCGAAGAATGATTTGTCTTCAGGTTATACAGTGACGTCTTTGGGTAGGGAGATGGATTACATCTTCCCACGATTTCCTCGAAAAATAAAAAAGAAGTAAAGATAAGCAATGATTTTTATCGATCAACCTAAACAGAATTTAAATGTGAAGTATCAAATGAATAGATCAGTTGGTTTATAATTGTTTGCACAGAGGATTCTTCAATGGTCTATTGTCCAATGCATGTGGATGTTAAACAATTTCTTAAGCTATACCGTTGTTTATATATAGTGATTCTTTTTGAAAAATGAATTGCAGATGTTATTGAGATTATACAGAAATTATCTGATTGAAAGTGTCTTTCTTTGCAGTGGACAATTCTCAATGGCTGCTGTAACAAAGTCACAATTCATCTCGAAAGGCTCATGCGCTGGCTATGGGGGTGTCGTCGACTCTGAGCCAAGGACCTTCCTAAACAGAAGGGTTCTACACTTGAGGAACCAAACCACCGCTTACGAAGGATTGAGATCTCGAAATGTGGTTGATTTGATTCAGATGCCGTCTAATGCCAAGGTGATTTCAAGGAAAACTGTGAGGGGAACTCAGAATCCTAGTCGTAGACCTTGGGCTGTTGTCATTTGTGGAAAAGGGATGAACATAGTCTTTGTCGGCGCTGAGATGGCTCCCTGGAGTAAAACCGGAGGACTCGGTGATGTTCTTGGAGGACTGCCACCGGCCATGGCTGTAAAGTTTTCATTCCATACTCCATTAGATTGTTTCTTTCTTGCAAGTTTTTACATTTGCTGCTCTGGTGTATAATGTTCTTTTGGTACCTTGTGTAATCTTTTTTTTATTTCCATGTATTATGATTAAATTTGATGGCCTCGATCCTCCTTTAGGCAAATGGACACAGAGTGATGACTATAGCTCCACGCTATGATCAGTACAAGGATGGGTGGGATACAAATGTCCTGGCTGAGGTATGTTGCCAGGTTATTGACACAGGTTCATCCTGCTGCATTTGTTAATACTTTTGGCAATATTATGAAGATCATAATTGATGTGTATTGTTATATGCAGTTAAAAGTTGGAAATGAAATTGAAAGAGTCCGCTTCTTCCACTGCTATAAAAGAGGAGTTGACAGGGTTTTCATTGATCATCCTTTGTTTCTTGAGAAGGTTCATTTAATATCTATGATAGAGATCATTCCCTCTTTTTTTTTCCCTGATGCTGACTTTGTTTGGCTTATCAGTTTGAGTGGCATAGAACTCACTGGGAATGTGCATGTATTAGGTGTGGGGAAAAACTGGAGGAATGATATATGGTCCTGTCACAGGAACGGATTATGAAGATAACCAGCTAAGATTTAGCCTTTTGTGCCAGGTGAGTGATTTTACTAATGCCAGGGAAGTTTGATTATTTTCTGGATCAATAACATTTTTATTGTTGTGATACTCGAATGAAAAGTTTGTATGAATCATAGGATTTTTTTTTTTTTGGCATAAGTCTTCTCCCTCTATCTGAAACAGTATTGCACTGTTTTCTATATTATTGTTTTCTGATCTATCACTATGGAAACTAATTAATATGACAATCCTTTTTTGCTGAGACAAATGTGGTCTAACCTTTCCATGTTTTGTCATTAGTTCTGATGAATGCTTAGGCTATATTTGGTGCTTGCTTAAATAAATGGAATTCTTGCAAGTGATTATCTTTATTTGATAACCACTAATATGGTATACGTTCTCAGATATCCTCCAATAGGAATTAGAAAGGCCTTTTCTAATGCTTACTGGATTTCAATTTGAGTAGCCCCACAATCTGCTGGTCTGGTTGAAGCAAGATTACTTGCTGTGCTTAACCATTTGCAAAACTCCTGCTATGTAACCCATGAGCATCCTTAACTTACAGCTAAGATTTAAGGAATTCCAAGATTGTGTGAAGTATATCACAGTCAGATTAGTAATCTGCACACATGGATTTTTTTATCACCATATCACCACTTCTTAGTCATCATCATCTATCCTTCTTATGCGCTAAATCAGAAATTACTTCTTGGGTTTTCATCTACAACATAATTTAACAATGCAAATCCATGGATCACCATTTTCCAGGCAGCTTTGGAAGCTCCAAGGATTCTGGATCTTAACAACAGCAGATACTATTCTGGACCATATGGTACAATTTTCATTCATTAATTTCCCAGGCTTTCTTTGGTCATTTACACCAGTGATTATGCTGTTACCATCATTATCTTACAAGCAGGGGAAGATGTGGTGTTTGTTGCGAATGATTGGCACACTGGTCCTCTTCCATGCTACTTAAAAAGTATGTACCAATCTCACGGGATATACAAGAATGCCAGGGTAAGACCTCAGTGTAATTCAATTTCATTTTTCTTTCTCTAAGAACTACAAATGATGGAGGCAAGTGATAACTGAGACAGGGTTTGACTTGATTGTTAGGTTGCTTTCTGCATTCACAACATTTCCTACCAGGGCCGCTTTGCATTCTCAGACTTTGCGCTGCTAAATCTCCCTGATAAATTTAAATCTTCATTTGATTTCACTGATGGGTATGCCCTCATGTTTCTCTTACAGTCATACCAATTAACTGGATGTAGATGAATATCCTGGTGATGCAAAATCTAAGAAAATGTAATTTATTTTGCAGGTCTAACAGGCCTGTGAAAGGAAGGAAAATAAATTGGATGAAGGCAGGAATTATAGAATCAGATAGGGTTGTTACAGTGAGTCCGTATTATGCACAAGAGCTGGTTTCAGGTGTGGAAAGGGGGGTTGAGTTGGAGAATGCCCTGCGCATGACAGGCATAACTGGAATTGTGAATGGGATGGACACTAACGAGTGGAATCCCTCGATCGACAAATATATTTCTGTCAATTATGATGCAACAAATGTGAGGACCTTCCAAAACTTTTTATCTTACTTAATTCAGTGCTCATTATAAAACTCATCAAAAATGATTTCAGGTGATGGATGCAAAGCCTCTGAATAAGGAAGCCTTACAAGCTGAACTTGGTTTACCTGTTGACCGGAACATCCCTGTTATAGCCTTTATAGGGAGATTAGAAGAGCAGAAAGGCTCAGATATTCTCGCTGCAGCTATTCCTGAATTCATTGATGAAAATGTTCAAGTGATAGTGCTTGTAAGTATGAAGATCTGCAAATAAAATTTGCTGTGTTTGACCTATTATTTATTTGAAAAGCGTAAAACTCTACTTTGTTTGATCTACAGGGTACTGGGAAGAAGCTGCTGGAGCGTCAGCTTGCACAACTTGAAGATATGTTTCCCAATAAAGTGAGAGCACATATGAAGTTTAATGCACCTTTAGCTCATGAAATCATGGCTGGAGCAGATCTTCTTGCTCTTACCAGCAGATTCGAACCTTGTGGCCTTATCCAGCTTCAGGGCATGCGATATGGAATTGTATGTCTTCTGTTTCACCCTTTAGTATCATATTGATCAGTAACTTTGACTTTAGCTAGGTTTCGACATGTTTATCATTTATACAAGGTTTTAGTTTTCTCACACCAAGCCTTTTCTAGCTGACCAAAGGTGTAGTAACATGTTCTGACCTGCCCTGTCATAAACCAGCATGGTGCCATGGACAGACTCGTAAGCGGCACAGTATGTATGGCTGGTATTTGAAGCAGAGAAGCATCATACTAATACTTGAAGTAACTTCTAGTATGATGTTAAGGGGTTGAGGTTGATTGGGCAGCAAGTGAGGATGGCATCTTGCTCGAACAGTTTCTTGGATGGAATTATCATTATCAGGGGATCAGAAAATCTTAAATGGAACATGTCTGGTTTTAATCAAATGGCATGCATGATACATTTGTGATTTTAGCTAAGGCATTTCGTTCCTCTGAGAAAAAAATGAGCATTTTGATTTGTAGATAGCAATAGAATTAAGGTCCTCATTAATTCCCTTACAAAGGGAAAAACTAATCATTTCTAAATTGTATTGTAGCCCCCCATGTGCGCAACAACTGGTGGACTTGCTGACACTGTCATAGAAGGCATCACAGGGTTTCATATGGGTCCCTTCAATCCTGATGTAAGGATGTTCTCTGATTATCTCACCCTTTGATGCACTAATATCATTCGACTGAGCAACAGTTCTGTTTCTTTTTCTAGTGTGATGTTGTCGATAAAGATGATGTACAAAAAGTCATTCAGACAGTGAAAAGGGCCCTCAAAGTCTACGGCACACCTGCATTTGCTGAGATGATACAGAACTGCATGACTCAAGACCTCTCCTGGAAGGTAAGCCATAATACAATGAAGTGTTCCATTTCGTTGTGCATTGTTGTATGGAAGTTCGGAAGAATGCAGTGCAAAATTTCATTTTCTTCAGTATCGTCCGCATGCATATACTGCAAGACTCATGTTTCTTCACACTAACCTAATGCTCCAGGGACCTGCTAAGAAGTGGGAGCAATTTCTCCTAAGCTTAGGAGCTGCTGGTAGTGAAGCCGGCATCGATGCTGATGAAATAGCTCCTCTTGCAAAGGAAAATGTGGCCACTCCCTGAAAGCGACTACTGTCTATGTTATAGTGTTTGAGTTTGATCCTCCTGAATAAATTGCTATTATGCTCCAAGTTTAGTGCTGTCAGTGACTGTTTTCTCTCTAGCGAGGAATAAATATTGTAAATGAAGTACTTGTACATAGTTTTGTGCTGCTACTTGAGAGAAAGTATGACATTTCACTCTAAACGATTGCTTATGTGAGAGGAGGTCCAATTTACTGCTTTGAACTCTCTCTGGTGCTGTTTGTTTCCATGTCATGTGATACAATGCATTATGATCTAAGGTTTTAATTCTTGAATGACTAAACTTGTGATAATATTGATCTCAAAAGAAAAAAATGCACTGATATTTCCCTCAAGATATCATCATTCAAAACTATTTGTTGAACCCTGTGAATCACATAGGTAAATTGGAGGTCAAAGAGTTTGAAGTGTTCTTGACAGAAAAAAGAATAGTAAAAAATCTTAATGAATTGAATTTGATCCATGGATGATCTCTTTTAATTTCCAGAGCTGAATGCACCCAATTCATAATTGACAAAAGATGAGACTAATTGCATATATAGCTGAGTGATTAAAGTGTCCATAGAGAATAATTTAGAGCAATTTGCATTGATTAACTCTAATATGATGCTTTGCTTCAACCCTCTTGGCACAAAATATATGAACTTTATTTTAGATGATTTTTCACTTTCCAAAGCATAATAAAATATAAAATATACATTCTTCAACATTTTAATTATGTGTGCTAATGTAATTTAATTATTGAGGGAATATAGGTAAACTTTTATTGATTTTATGTGACCTAAATAGGTCAATCGTCACATCTCATGATCATCCATGCTTATTATTTATTTTATTTTATTTATTTTCTCACATCTCATGATCATCGTCGACATTCTCCAATGCTCTTTGTTATCAATCATCATCCTTCGATCATCGATCGTCATCTTCTAACTTACACTCCAATATCGCTCATCGTTCCCTCGATATTAACATCCTTTCAGAAAAAAGAAAAAGATGATAAAGGAAAAGAAAGAATACGAGAGAAAATATCTATATTTATTTATAAAAAATAATATTATAATATTTTAAAAAATAGAATAATGAAGAGAGATTGTAAATAGTAATCTCTGTCTATTAATAGGTAAGATAAAATAACCGTAAAGCGAGGCGGGTTAGACAAAGCCATCCGACTTATCCTAATCGACCCACTCGAGCACAACCCGCAATTGACTTGGCTTGAGGTTAATCTGACCCGAGTTGACCGAACCCAAACCCAGCCCGATCAATCTTCCCAGATCTATTTATCGTTCTCCCCACATCTATTCGTCGTCACAGCACGCGCTCGAGCCGGCGAGGTGTCGAAGAGAGCTACAGAGCGAGAGGGAGAGAGAGCGACGGAGATGGGGGCGGAGTGCTGTTACGAGGTATCCCAGATCGCCTACATAAAGCTCGTCCTCCACGCCCTCAAGCACCGTTCCGCCGCCGTCAACGGCCTCCTCCTCGGCCGCCTCCGCCAAGACGGAGGCGCCACTGCCACGGTCGAGATTGCCGACACCGTCCCCCTCTCCCACTCCCAGATCGGCCTCCTCCCCGCGCTCGAGCTCGCCCTCATCCAGGTACCCCGATCGCCACGGAACTACTCACTTCTCTCTCTATCGCTTTCTCTCTCTCTCATCTAGGGTTTGTTACATCCGTGATCTGGCCGGTTCGTGCCCGATTGGGGTAGATCGAGGAGCATTTTGAGGCACAGGGGTTGAGCGTGGTCGGTTACTACCACGCCAACGAGAGGCACGACGACGTGGAGCTCGGAAACGCCGCCAAGAAGATCGGGGATCATATCTTCCGTTACTTCCCTCGGGCAGCCGTTCTCCTGGCATGTCTCATACCCTATTTTTTATCCCTCTAAAGTTGTCCTTGGCTTTTTTTCTACTTTCCTCCTGGATGTTGATTGTTTTCAATGTTTTGATGTAAATGGCCCAGTTGGATAATAAGAAGCTGGAAAGGCTGCAATCATCGAAGGGCAGGGACCCTGTTGTGCAGGTAATCGCCCATTTATCTTCACCGTCTAGTATAGGTTTTATGAAATGATAATAATTGACTGTGTGAAGGTTTCTTGCTTTCCTCTATGATCTGTACTCGTGAATGTGTTATAAGATCATTGAATGTGACATTTACTATTACATCCGATTCAGATCCTCCTCTTTGTGTCCATATCTGTTGCATATGCTATTTCAAGGACGAGTATTAGTACAAGAGTAAGGGTGAGGAGGGTTGGAATTATGAAAACAACCTCTTTACTTATAGGGGTAATTCCAAGACTACATATTGGCAGGAACCTCATGCATTGAGTTCGCCCATGTCACCTTTTTATTTATTGCCTTTTGGGGTCATATTCTTATTTATTATAAACAAATATAGCTGCATTATTGTCTGTTTAATATCCGTATAGTTACAAATATGTTTTCTTTCCAATATCTGAGCAGTATCTCATCATTTTTACCCCTAATTCCAGTTGCCCCTCTAGCTGTAATGGTAGATTTGTTGAGCATCTGCAATTTATCAGGGCAGAAGATGATGACACAAATAAGACAGCCCACAAGGATGGGAGTTATGTCAGTTCCTTGTTCTCAATTTCACTAATTGCCAAGATGATATCCCTCAAACATAAGGATGAGGTCACGAGAGTGACAAGCTGTATGTTTGATGTTATATTCCTGGATATGGGGCATGAATTCCTGATTTTTTGAAATGGACTCTAATTTGTCTTCATCAATAATGTTCTGCTTATTTTTCCTTGGTGCATCAATCTGGAACCATGTTCCTCCAAATGCCTCAGGTGTATGTTGTGTGGTGTTATTGCTAGGTAGCTTGCCTTACTATGCATAGTTTATAGTCTATTGGGTGGGCTTGAGCAATCTTTTCTTGCCTAATAGGCTTGGTTGGACCTAAAAAGTAAAACCAAATTGTTTAATGCGCTTATCTCTAAGCCAGGGTTAAATGTTACAATATAATTAACTAGATATTGTAGTTGTTGGATCATATCTTGGTTGTCCGAGCTGGAAGTTGATTCGGATTCAACCTTGTTCTTCTTCAAGCTGATTTCAAAGTGAAACTCTTCGAGTCGAACATTTGAATATTGTAAAACGATGTCGAGAGGATTCTTCACAAGGCCTCTTCGATGCCTAAGTTAGTAATATAGTTGGACAAGTTGGGCTAAAATTGACTTTTGTGTGTAAATGTACTTGTGCGCCCCCTTTTTATGGTGGGCATTTGAGACCATTACACCCACCCATTATGCGGTTTGTGTAGTAATGGGGGTGCCATAATTGCCATTCACCAGCGTTGGACTGTTACACCCGACTATCAATACCATTACACCTGCCTACTAGAACCGTTCCACTAGCCTATTATGCTCTCTATGCAGTTATGGGAGCACGAAGGTCGGCCATAACTATTCTCCAGTTGGCATCTACTAGACGTAGCTATGTAATGCTAACGTGGCGACGAATGGTGGTCTAGGTGGCTTGGCCATGGTGACTATGCGGGGCTAACTCGTGGATCTTGTCAGTCGTTATGTCTTTTATGTGGAGCCAAGGTCTCAAAAAATAGAGCTAATAGGTCGATATGTGATGCTAATAGGTCAACCACGCCATTCGTACCATAACCCCTGTCACCCACTTCCCGAGCTGGAGAGCATAGCAGAAACTGATCGGGAAGTATTGTTTGGTCGATCTCTGTTGTCGACGTTACAAGCAATAGAATGGCCAACATAACGAGTGCTGACATGGTATATCGTGGTTTGACACTATTACCAAATATGGTGGCGCACAATGGGCCGACACGGCCAGGTGCGCTTGTGCACAAAGGGCCAACATGGCCGGGTGCGGTGGCATAGAGGGCCGATAAGGTTGGACGCAGCAGCGTACAAAGGGCAAATAAGCTCAGGCTAAGCGGCTTACAAAGGGTCAGTAAGGTTGGGTGCAGTGACGCAGAGGGTTGGTAAAGCCGAGCGTGGTGACACGCAAAAAGGTTGGTAAGGTTGGGTGTGGTGGCGTAGAGGGCTAGTAAAACCGAGCGGTGGCGCACAAAGGGCCGGTAAGGTCGGGTGCAGTGACGTCGAGGGCTGGTAAGGCTGGGCATGATGGCGCACAGAGAGCCGATAACCGGGTGTGGTGGTGTAGAGGGTCAGTAAGGCCGGCCGTGATGACGCACAAAGGGTAAGGTCGGATGCGGTTGCACAGAGGGCCCGTCCACATAAAGGACACGACTCCCCGTGTATTACTGGCAAGATCCATGTGTCCAATCGATGAGCCTCGTGTAGTCGCCACGGCTAAGCCACCTAGACCACTATTCGTCACCACTTCATTATTACGTAGTTGCGTCCAGTAGACGCCAACTGGAGATTGGTTATGGTCGACCTTCGCGCTCCCATAACTGTACATAGAGTGTGATAGGCAAGTGTAATGGTCCGACGCTAGTGGATGGTGGTTATTACGTCCCCATTATTGCATGAACCTCATAATGGGCGGGCGTAACGATGTCGAATGCCCACTATAAAAAGGGGGTGCACAGGTACGTTTACACACACAAGATAATTTTAGTCCGACTTGTTCGACGAGATTACTGACTTAAGTACTGGAGGGGCCTTGTTGGGAACGCCTCAGATGTTGTTTTGCAAGACTTAAATGTCCAACTCAAAGAGTTTCACTTTGAGACTGGTTCGAAGAAGAACAAGGTTGGATCTGAATCAGCTTCCAGCTTCGACAACCAAAATATGCTTTAACAGTTGTAATGGCATAGTGTGTTGTTAGAATATAGGTTTGAACCTACTAAAAAGCTGAGTAGAGTTCAAGACCCAGAACCGACCAAGGATTTATTGTGGCTAGGCTTGTGTTCACATTTGTAGGTGTATATCAGTGTGTGTTAGGCTTTGCCTCAAGCCTTCGTATACTATTTTATTCTTATACATAGGGCTGTCCTGGTCCTTGCGGACCAGAACAAAACTGCACATACTTTTGTCATTGATATGCCATCTGAGCATTCTTTATATTTTTGTTGCAATGAAAAGGATTTACTGGTTTTTTCTGTTGAGATGGGTCTAAGCATTTAACGCTATAGTTGAGGTGGAATGTCACAGTGATCTCAGTTCCTTTCTAATAAGTTGGATCCTGATTCTTCAGTTTCACAAGCACTCAGATCAATTAGGATGAACAGTATCAGTACCTGTCATTTGTCGATGAAGTTTATCTGATGGCCTTACCGTTTGGGTTTGGGAACACACCTTTTCTATTATGGGGCAAGCTACTATTCTTGTCCCTTCGAGGAATGAAATTTGTATGTTTTTCCATTGAAAAGTTAAAAAAATATGTATCTCCTTCTAAATTTCAAAGATCATCAATTGATTTTCCTTATGGGTATATATGATTTGATCGGAAGAGAGATATTTATTATTATTTTTATGTTTTAGAGGGAAATTACATACAAATTTCAAGTTTCAGAAAGTGAGAGCTACATACAGTTTTAATTTTCATTCCATATATTTGATTACAAGATCTTTTGCATTGTGCATATTTTGTATTGCCAGCAGAAATGTTTATGCAGCAAATGGGTTATTTGTACTAGATAGCTGCATGTGGACCAAACGTTACTTTTTTTAGTTGAATGGACAAAATTTTTTGATGAGGGAGGGTGACGAAGCCATCACGTGGGGCCAAGTGTTCTATAACAGTAGGTCAGTAGCAATATACCACATGCATCACTACAGTGTGACCTGTTTATGCATGCATGATGTCTTCGTATACATCCATTTAGTAACAACAGTGGAGATGATTAGGATTATGTTTATATTATTTATTTATTCTTCATGATGAATATAACTTAGTAGAATCATCCTTCATGGCAATTAACTTGGCAGTACAGACTCTTCAGATCGGTGCAGCCATGGACTCCTGACTATATTCTCAAACTGGACTGATTATCTACCAATTGTACTGAAGTTAACACTTTCCTAATTCTTCATTGCCAACTATCATCTTATATGCAGCTATACACAAGGGATTCATCAAAAAGTTGGCGTCAGACTGGATCAGATGGAAGTAACCAGTTGACTTTGAAAGAGCCAGCAGCTAATGTAGTGTTATTAGATTATATTTCCTCTGAAAAATGGCAAGAAATAGTTGACTTTGATGATCATCTTGATGATATTAGCAAGTAAGATTATCATTTTGTCAGGTTCTGCATTCCATTTCGTTTTAGTAATTTTACTTTTGTTTCTAAGGTACAACAAACTCAGCCTAAAATTGTCTGCATTTAATGTTTTGCAGGGACTGGCTGAATCCGGGCTTGTTCAATTAATTCGGGTGGTTATTTATTACTTATTTGTTATCGTTAGACATACCACCAGCATCAATTTTCATAAAGTAAATTTTTGTTTGCTAATCTTCCCCCCCAAAAAATTGGTTCCTGCTGTTGAGACATGTATGCGTGCTCTGCTTTACGCACAAAGAACTGCTTTTACTAAACTAGCTCGAGTGCCATGACTGTCATGTCTTCATAAGGGACACCGTTGCTGTTGAAACCTTGGTAATTTTTGCATGTGATGGACATTTTACTTGCTTCTTCTCCAAGGACTGACTGTAGTCTTCTAGTAGTTGGTACTCAGATCGAAGAAATGGAAACTAGAAACAGGCTTCTCTATCTAATCGCACATTTGCAAACCCACTGATGTCCCTGTGACCTGTGGTTCATTTCTGCCACATTAGGCTGTCGAACTTGATTAACCTATGTTCACTTTGTTCGTTCAGTTGTTATTGTGCTGTCCTTTTTTGATGGTGAAATGCTTTCTTAGGTGTTTATTCTTTGAACCCATAGCGATAAAATTTCCAAGCATTAGAAACTAGCGAGCTTTAAGGCATACAGATGCCAACAATAACGTAAATTACATATTAAAATCGACATGAATGGGCTTCAAGGTGGGTACGGATAGCTTGAGTCGGCCTTTTAAGGGCCCAATTAGGAAGGTTGACCAAACGGACCGTACCTCACCAGTACTTGCAATCCGCACGTGCCGAACGTGTGCTGCAAAGTGTTGTAGACGCCGATAAGTTCGATGGCCGATTGGATCACAAAGACAAGGTGGGAAATGGAGTCGCTACTTCGTCTCCGCAACCACCATCACTGCCATTCTCGCCTTCGTCCTCCACCTCTTCTTCCGCACCACAACCGCCTCAGGAGATGTATCCTCCTCCTTCCTCGCCCCTACCACCTCCGAGGATCCTCTCTTATCGCCCGAGCAGAGCTGCCACCTCGAGAAGCCGGAACCGGGCAGAGCGCCGGCGAAGCACCTCTGCCCGTCTCTTCTCCGCCGCCTCCATCTCCTACACCTACAAAGCCGGAAGGAAAAGGGACCGGATTCGGTGGATCGCCCGCTTCCGAATCGAAGAAGAGGAAGAAGAAGGGCTCAGTTGTTCGACGCTCTCCCATAGACAGGAGCTCTCTCGTGTATTCGGCGAGTAAAGAGGACCAGTCGCAGCAGCCGGCTGTGAACGAGAGTGCCTTCCTTCTCACTTGGTTGGGCCTGGGCGTGATCATCCTCGTTGAGGGCCTCGGGTTGGCTGCGGCAGGTACTTCGCTGTGGCTTCTGCTCACGTTGTTGCTCCTTAAGCAGTTCTTTCTAGCCCTTTTTGTGCTTAAGTAGTCAATGAATAACAAATGCTACAAGTCTAAGATCTGGTGATTCTTTTGCTCTTTCTTCCTCTGAAACAATCTGATATTACAACTGATAACTTGGATTTTTGTGAGGTTTAGTTTTGATTCATAAATGAATTAATGGAAATTAGAGAACAAATTGACAGTGGTTAGGACCTCAATTTATTTCTTAAACTGTATGTCTTAAAAATGACTTGGAAATTGGAGGAAAAAATTGAATAAAGGACCCGAATTAGTTGTTCCAAGAAAAGTAATATCTTGATGGAATAATTGACCTATTAGTTTTGTTGAGCTTGAATCACTAATCTCATTCTTATAAACCAATCCAAATCTCCTAGACTGATCCAAGGTATTATAAAAATTCTGTTTAACATCGGATTCATTCTCTATGGCCCTGGTGAAAGTGGAGTTTGAATGTCCATTTAAGCCTTTATTTGATGGCAAGTATCCAATCGCATTATTTGATTGTTCATCTACCACAGGCATTATTTCTTGGTCTATCTGTAGCTACAAGACTTGAGAGACTAAAGATTCTCTACGGCCTCTGCATGGAAAGTTTAAAATGTTTGAGATTTAAGCTGTGGAAGATGCTTTAGTCTTTATAGTTGTTGACCTATTAATGACCCTTCTTGTTATTGCCAGAACTAATTGTGAATTAATCATCTGTTAGTAAGCCAAGCAAGAGAGCTTAAAACGATACATACTCATAATTACTGGTTATCATCACACTATCTCCTGTGGATGTCACTTGCAAGCTAACTCATGGACAGTTCTTTTTCACTAGGCCATATATGGTATCTCTGATCTCTCTGCTGAAGATGATCACTCCATCCATCTTGGTTGGTGCATAATGAGTCAACTTCCGATAATTCTTGGACAAGTTATGATTCCTTATCAGATCATATCCAACTACATTAATTTTCTTGTACAGGGCATGCTGGGACCATTATGAAATGTTCAGCATTGCATTTGTGCTTAGCACTGAAATTTCTTGGTCAATTGGCATTAATTAAGTTCCTACCTTCCGTCCTAAAATAAAAGTTAGCTACATCTTTAATTTTTGTTATATTATCTCTACTTCATCTTCTCCATAGCTTGTAAAGCTCAATAAGAAATACTTGGATTGATTCCAAATTGACCTTTGCTTGTCTCTCGTGCAGGCTTCTTACTAGAGGAGTGGGATAGCTTTTTTGTGAAATATATTTATCCTTCCTTCACTCCAACAGTCCTCTTGTTTCTTGGTGGTACCGTTGCTTATGGGGTCTTCAAGTACTTTCAGGCTGAGAAAATGAAGAGCTAAGTGGAGAACAAATGGTAAAACCAGGCAGTTGTTCTGTCGTTGTATCATACGAGTCATTTGTGATTATTACATCTGATCTTGTTGGTTAATTTTGTTGCAATGTATTTTAGTCAATGTCCACAGGTGTTCAAACTCCTTTTTCATATGGGCAAAGGAGCTTACCGAGAGTGGCTTAAGATGGGTGGATCACTACCAGGGCCTACCCCTCGGTGTTTTAAGGATGGTGCAATACATTGAGGCATTTGTTATGTCATATAGCACCATTAGCACACAGTAAGCTGCTACATGTTTCATCTGGTTTGCGCCCCCATCAAACGCCTCTTAGGTTGGTAGCCAAAGGCTCACAGGGATTTGCTCATCTTGGATTGCCTAGATAAATAAGGATTTGGTCGAGGCGAAGTCAATTAAATCTCCCCCATAGCAATATAAAATTCTCAACACATGTTCTTGAGGTGTTGGTCCATCTACTACAGCTTTGTTCTAAGGGTGTACTCTGGTAGAGTCCATGGATTGGGCCTCTGACTCAGGTATCGTTGATTGTGGACGATGTAGTTTGCTGAACTCGACTGTGGGAGATGGCAACATTCCATTCGTCAAGTGGTCATCTATTGATCGTGGATGCTTTGAGGTGACAGGTGTCGGGGTTGGTCGAGGCACCTCGACAAGTGTTCGAGGAGCAGTTGGTTGTTGTAGGGTTGGTGTTGCTACCGACTAAGCTAACTAGGGGAGGAGGGAGATGATAAATTACATCATCTTAATGAGTTTGCTGAACTCGACCAACATTCCATTCGTCAAGTGGTCGTCTATCGATCGTGGATGCTTTGAGGTGACAGGTGTCGGGGTTGGTCGAGGCACCTCGACAGGTGTTCGAGGAGCAGTTGGTTGTTGTAGGGTTGGTGTTGCTACCGACTGAGCTAACTAGGGGAGGAGGGAGATGATTAATTACATCATCTCAATGAGTGTCTGAACCTACTTGGTGAGGTTTCAGAAGACCTTGATCAAGACCACCATATGGGTTGGGGTCCCTATGGTAGAGAGAAATCGGGGTCGTTGAACAACTGTCGATACTATATTGGGGTTTGCAACGAGATGGAAGTGCCAAGGGATGTCATTGTCGATGGTGGAGCATCCTTGCTCGAGCGCTCATTGAGTCGATGGAGTGATGTTCTTGTAACATGAGCCTTCCTTTGAGTACCAAAATGATGTTGCGGATCTCGTTTATGTCCAGATCAACTTGGCTCAGTTTGGATCTACATGCGCATGAAGTCGGACTTGGTTGAACGAAAGGTTCGAGCATTCGTTTAGTTGCCAACTTGTATGAAGAATGAGGTCTAGTAAAGTCCTCGACGAGGTCCCTCCGAAGCTCTAATTAATTTCGAGATAGAAAGTGAGAGTTGAGTAAACAATAACATACCTCAATCGTTGTGGCATATGGGTTTTTTTATACGGTGCTTGACCCAGGGGAATATTATGTGGTATGAGCAAAATAATTCTTCTGAGATTTTATATTGAACTGATATCTATGTGGCTTAATTGTTGACTGGGTTTGTTTCCACCTACTAATTGTACTGTCACGTGTTGAGCAGAGATTGAGGATAAATATTTTTCATATCAGTATTAGTATCAAAATTGGTCTTAATACAAGGTATTGGTAATGGTATATGGAATGATAATGGTATTGATATTTGTATGGGAAATTATTGATAATTATAATGAAATTTGTAATGCTGTTAGTAATGGTAATGATATTGGCAACGATAATGGTATCGGTAATGGCTATTAGATTGATATTGGTGATAGTATTGGTGTTGGTAAAAATAATAATAATGTTAATGCTATTGGTATTTGTATTGTATCAGCTAATGGTATTCGTATTGATATTGATATTGGGATTGGTCTTAGTATAAGTACTAATATTATATTGGTAATGATAATGATAATAGTATTAGTAATTAGTAATGATGTTCATAATGGTGTTAATGTTGGTATTGGTAATAGTAATTGTGATGATATTGGGGGATAATTACATACTACTATTTTTTAAAGAGTAGCATTGGGATTCTTATACTTATAAAAGTGAAATATTTAATTTTAATTTTACTTATATCGTTAACTTTGTCGATGAAAAAAATGTCTAAGTGCGAATGGAAATGATAAAACATAATTTTATTATCTTTTAAATTATTAATTTTATATAAACTTCTCGCTCTATTCAATTTTCAACCTACGTCTCTACACCTGCATTTGATCCTACTTGTCTGTCGCGGTTGCGGGCATAGAGAGAAGTTTTACGTAGAAATGGTTTCATTTTTTTTACGACTCTTGCAGAAGTTTTACGTAGAGAGAAGTTTCACTACGACGACGACGAGATAAGACGACAAACAAACAGGTTGAAAAGAGGGTTAAGTCTTTTCTGCTATCCCTGTGAATGACAAGCGAAGCTTCTCAAGGAAAGACCGAAGTTGAGATAATGTGCATACTTCAAACTTCAGCTGCTATAAATGATTCCTATGACTATTTTGTTTTGGTAAGAATCCATTTCTATGTCTTAATCTCTACTAGTTGTGATCATCAACTCACTAATGCT